TGTTCAGGGCTTTCGCGAATACAAGGAAACCAGGGCATCCCGTACACCTGCTGCCATGGAGCCTCTACTGAAAGCAGTCCGAACCATCGCTGTCTCCACTAGTGAGTGTGAGCGGGCATTCAGCTGCATGAACGATATCCTTACTGCAAAAAGGAATGCTCTCTCTGTCAGCCGACTGTCCATTACCATGGCTCAGACTTTGTTACTTGCAGTTACAGTTTCTCATTTTAGATTGTGCACATTTTGCATTTGTTTTGACATGTTCTTTGTTCATGCTCTTTATCATTTTTCTGAGTTGGAAAGTTAGATTGCATCATAGTTTACTTTATACATATTTGTATTCTTCAGTGGTGAAGTATATTGCAAAGCAGCTCAGCCATGTGAGAAGACTTTTGGCACTTTTTCGTTTTTCGTTTTCTGAGTTGGAAAGTTAGATTGCATTCAAAATGTACAGAAATACTTAATTTTGTTAAAGCTTTTTATAAAAAATGCTTCTGACCAGAGCTTTGTTTCCTTGTCATTAATGTTGAACACCACCAGAGGGGCTCTCACCTGAAAGGTCTCTGCTTCATGTGTCTTCAGCAGAAGATCTAGACTTTGATTGCTATATTTTCAGTTAATATTGACCTTACTGAGCTTTAGCCATATCCGCTGCCTATCATAAAAAATGTTAAGTACAGTGAACCTTTCTAAAATATACAGTAGTAAAGAGACAAACCCACCAGCATTATAGTAGCCAAATTCTTGTTTGTGGGCTGTATATATAAAATTGACTTGAAAAAGTTGCTGATTTTAGAGTACTGGCACCTTTTTCATTCCAATTCAAGCACTGCTTATATGTCTTAAATGACATGATGAATTGGAAATGGGGGACCCTGATGTAAACAAGACGAAAGTCTTTCTCTGGTCTGCATCCCCTTAACAATTGTATGTTTTGAGCTGTACTGTACTGTACCCAATATACAAGCTGTTAATAAACTTTTCAATCAATCAATCAATCAAAACCAATAATGTCGCGTTCACACCGCCGGGACTACTAAGTGCCGGGAACTCTTTTGGCCATTTTCAGTCCCTGCTAGAGAGGTGGTACGAACCTGGTGATAAAAGAGTGCCAATTTCTATTCTATTTCTATTGGCTGGGAGAATTGCAAACCACGCCCCGTTAGACTCTGAATTTTCTTTGTTAGGCAGCCATTTTTTTCCTCGCTACAAAACCACATCCACACCTGAGCGAGTAGTTTTTTTGTACTTTAAAGCAGTTATGACCACACGTACTACAACACCGGAGCGGTGGAATGATGAGGAAGTGTCGGCGCTTCTGGCAATTTACTCTGAGGACGGGATGCAGCAGCTTCTACAGAAAGCAGTTCCCAACTCCAAGGGCCCATTCCAATAGTCCATTTAGCTTAGGAACCTTCCTAACGGAGTGAAATTACCCGGAAGTACGTCACTGGCAGCCATGATAAGTGCCTTTCCAATTCTCCAAATGAAAGGAAAGGAGGTTTCAAACTTCCTTTATAATCTCCTTTAGCTGAGGAACCACTGGACCTCCCTAACCGAAAGGAGAGGAGAAAATGCTGCCCCACAATGCATTGCAGCCGCAGCATTTGCCGTCACTCAACAGTCGGCCGTTCACGGACACAAACGATAATGGGAGAAATTATATCATGAAAGTTACGGTGCTTATTACGCATTTTAAAACGTATGTGGTAAGTAGGATTGGGAACCGAAACTCGGTTCCAGATGAGAACCGATAAGAAAATGCCGGGTACCGGGTACCCGTACAAAATACACCTTTTCGGTTCTGCTTAACGGTTCCTAAACGCGGTAGACCCTGTATTCCAGCGGGTCCGTCTGTACCGCGGCGACCCGGTGGAATACAGGGCGGACCTGGAGAATCACAGAACGGCCGGTCGTCAGCGGGCCGTTGACGGCCGGCTCGGTACGCTGATGGCCGGCACCGCCCTTAATTTTTTAAAACGGCATCATGTAAGTTGCGCTGACAGGCGACAGAGGTCCACAGTTGCCCCGCAGCGAGGCTCCCCCCGCCCTCCCGTAGACAGTTCACGAGCTCAGTCACTTCATAACACCAAAGATGGGTCGCGGTAAACGCTCTGAAGTGAGGCTCCACTACACTAAAAAATAAAAAGACAATTGGGCACAGTGTTAATAGCTTGCCACAGGCATAGCTCAGTTAAAATAAAGCACAGCTATTGTGCAATACATTTGTATTGCATGTATATTTTTTATTTGTAACAATTTCAGTTAAAGCTGAAAAGAATAAAGATATTTTTGTTATCTAAACGTTTGACCTCTTTCTTTTACAATTTTGGAATCGAAACGGGGAATCGATAAGAACCGGAATTGATAATCGGAATCGGAATCGATAAATTTCAAACGATACCCATCCCTAGTGGTAAGTTGCCAAAGTGCTTTGTTTTGAACGTTCATCAGTATTATAATCAAAAAGAGAAATATGAACGTTAGTTTTTACTGAAATGATCAAATAAAGTCAACATTTCACAGTCTTTACTGAGCTGTGTGGGGTTTGTTCAACTTTTAAAAGATGTTTGAATGGTGATATACACAGTGATAGATGTTAAGGACTAACGTTTATAATAAATACATTTGTATTTATTTTAAGATCTTTTAATAGTTCATACAATCATACGTGTTGTGGACCGGAGGGTGACGAGCATAAGTTTCACTTTCCTTTTTTATTTCAATTCCAACTTTGGTCATGAAGAATATGTTTCTCTGTTGTCCACGTTCATAAAGCATAAAACAACAGCATCAGAGCACGGTGCAGAGTCTCTAGATGAGTTTACAGTAGTCCCTCGTTCTTATTATACATCCATGTTGTAGTCCGCTGTATAGAAAACTAGTTTCCATAGTTTCCCCACAGCAGCAGACGCACATTCATGACGTCCGCTGGCGCATCATAAACACGTCGGATAGTGAAAGTGCATTCGGATTCTCTAAGCACCGCAGTCTCTTCTCCTAAATCCTTTTTGAATTCTCCTATCCACTATCCCTTAACCCCGTGACGTTTCACTCAGAGGTCAAGGAATAGGAGAAAGGGTTAGAATTTAGGAGCTAATTTTTGGATTATCGGAACGCAACCCAGATGTTTTGAGCGATGTTCGCAAAAGCTACTTGAGCTGGGAATCGTGCACAGTGCACACGGATGCCGGGTAAAAATAAAGAAACTCAGGCAGGACTATAAAAAAATTAAAGACCACAATAATAAGAGTGGTAACGATTTTCTATTGTTATTATATATATATATATATATATATATATATATATATATATATATATATATATATATATATTGCCACTGTTTTTTAATACTGACACCTAACTTGCACTAAGGTGTGTGTGCTGCTATATATATATTGCCACTGTTACATTGTTTTGAAACTACTTACACTTTATTTTACATTTCACACTTTTATTTAACTTCAATTTACATGCATACGACACACCTGGAACAGCGTGATGCCGTTATTGTTATGTCTTGACTGTGCAATAAAACAAACAAACTGGCGAAGCTTTATTTATTGTGTCCCACCCCAAATTTGCAGAATAGAAGAATGTGAGAGCAGACAGGTGTCGGTGATTGAATGTATCTACAATGTTGCAACCTTGTGCAGCAATGGCAGGGCAGAAACACAAGTCTTACACACATAAACACAAGTAATTTATCATGTCATTTGTTTTAGATAAATAAGAGAAAAACACCAAACAAGGGTTAATGTCCTTTTCCAAAATCAGCCTGAGGGGGTAATATATAATAAATATATAAAGATAAAGTCCATTGTTATAATGGGGTATTTTATTTGTAAATTACCCTTATTACCCTTATGAACTCCATCATGTCTGAGGTCGGAAAGTAAACAAACGCCTCATACAGCGGGTGGGATGTAAATAGTATATGATCATTTTAAAATTAAACACAGCATATTTATATGATGCTACAAAAACTTATAACCCAAATATAATTTAATACATTTGTGTGTGCTAGTTCGTTAGATTTGTTGCTGCTCAGTAGGCTACACTGAAAAACTGAAACGTTGACTTTAATTAAATGTATCATGTCAACAAATCTCACAAAACTGTATTATGTGAAAGCAATAATATTAAGTTGGACCTCATATTTTATTTAAACGTAATACTATTGCTTTCAACTAACCTTATACAATTATGTGAAATCTGTTTCCATAATACATTTAAATTTAGTCACAGTTAAGTTTGTTCAGTAGACGGCATACAGGTTGGCATATTCTTCCATAATGCCATAAAGAATAAAAACACGATTTCATTTTAGCCTCTATATAATTTAAGTCAAGTAATTATTTAAATACAGGTCACAGTAACAGTAAAAAAAAATGTTTGTGAGTGAAACCACAGCTGGAGCTTGTCAGCTACCACACCTGGAGTCAATCACAGCTCGTTAGCGGCTCTACACATCCTGAGCTGCAGAGAGTCTTAAAGTCCTTTCAGGAGAAGTTGAAGCTGTTCAAACTCTGCTCTCCTCGCCAGGCTCCTACTCTATCCCTTATGAGTTATTTGTTTCTATAGTTAACTCCATTCATGAGGCTTCTTTGTACTTTAATTATTGTATCATCATATTGTGTTGCCCAGCTGATCACATCACAGACCTGAATCAATTAGTGCCTCCACAGCAATATGTTCAGAATACTGCTCATGAACATTCACTGACTTCAAATCTTCCTGGTTTATAACTCAAGTGTACACATTTCCTATTTTTTGAAGCTCTTTCTTGGTTATTAGCTTTTTATCTGACATTCTCTTCTGACTTGCAAGTAGAACAAAATACAGCATCTACTTGTAAAAAATCCCTTTTATCCTTTGGACATTTAAGATATCCTAAACCCCAAAAATCCTCACTGGTAAATGTAATGCAATAATTGAAATACAATTACAAGTAATATAGTATGCACTGTATAATCGCACATCAGCCTTAATCCACTCACGTTTGGATGGTTCAACGGATGGCTTTGACTCCTCTTCTGTCTTTTTCGGGACTGTCTCCTCTTCCTCTGTCTGTTTGCTCGGTGCTTGGGTTCCTTCCTCGTCTTCACTCCCGGCCAGGTAGTTCCAAGGCTTCCAGACGGACTTCACGATCTTTGAGATCACCTGAAATAACGTAGATGCACAGAAACGTAGCTGGCTCAGTGATGCTGCTTAAGCCCTGAGCCTGTTTTTCAGGTCTCAGGCTCGAAAATGACATGCCCAGAACAAATGACTATATCTTCACTTCTAAAAGGGGTAAATTAATAATCTTTCTTCTCAAAGCAATGATACACCTGTGAGTTGGATGTAGAAAAGTCAGAATCAATATAGATGTTTTTATTTTTAAAGTAAATTCGGATTGAACTATAGTCAAAACATGTAAATTATAGTTTCTGTCCCAAAAACCACCATACACTCTCGTAGCTCTCATAGCAGCTATATATGAAAACTCCGATTATTGACATAAATGTTATGATGGATTATCAGTAATCATTTCAAAGTGACACAGACACATTGGATTAACTTTCACCAGCGTTTATATGCGTTTTAATGCCCTTGAACACAACTTTTGATCAGAAAACAGCAAAGGTAAGAAGTATTTGTCGTTTTGGCTACGTAAAGTGAAGTTGTGTGTTGACTTTGCTGGCTTTCGCTGCCGCGAGTTTTGGGCGTGAAGTGATGATACTTATATAATTGGAATCCATGGAATCTCAGCTTTCAAACAATATCTAGTTTTGTGCAGATCCGATATACCAGTGGCGAACCGTCAGGGCCTTCAAGGTATTCAGAGAATACCCTGGAACACTCAGATAAAACAAACTTTGACTAGGGCTAAAACTAAGAATTACTTTTATCACCGCTTCATCTGCTGATTATTTTCTAGACTAATTGATGAATTGGGAATAGAAATGAAACATTACTAAAGTCCAATGTGATGATTTAAAATGAAAACAGCATTTTTCTATGTACTTAAAGGATGAATCAGTAATCAAAATAGTTAGTGATTATTTTCCTGTAGATTGATGGATCGTAATAATTGCAGCTTTAGCTCAAACCAACCTTCTTGTCAGCCACAGTAGGGTGGACTGGTGGTCGGAGGAACTGGTCTGAGTCGGGTCCGGGCTCCAGTGGCTCTCCCCAGTCTGAGAGGATCTGTCCTGGGATCAGCTGGAGCGTTACAAAGGACCCTGAAGACTCTGCAGACCAGGGGTCTGAGGCTGAAGAAACAACCGAAATAGGTGTTACAACAGATCCAACTGTATAAGTGATCAATACAAATAATGAATTAATATATTAGAAATCAGCCCTACAGGCATCAGCGCTGTGAAGCGAGGCCTCGTCTTCAAGGTCGACCAATCCTGTCCAGTTTGAAGGTGAAGCGCTGCTGCCATCTGAGGACACAGCAAGGATGCATTTGCAAAAAAATCAATCTTACTGTATTTATGTTTACTGATTTGACGTTTGATCCTGTAAATAATCAGCTTCATTATGCTACTACTGATATTTTAGACAGATGTGAAACCTCTGGCAGTGGTGGTTTGCTGTGTAGTCACGTCCGGGCTGCCGGTCCCTGCAGAGTTAGCATCACTGGAGTCTGTGAGGTAGCTCCAGGGCTCCCACAGGGAGGTGTAGATCTGAGAGATGGAGCCCGAATCCTTCATTTTACCTGGGAAACAAGTTTAAGAGATTTTCTGTTCACATGGCTGTCACTGAAGGATTTGAACCAGCTTGTCTCAAAGCTTTGCTGTGTATTCATTTTGCAGTCAAGACAGAAACCGCACATCTGAAAATATTTAACTTCAACAAATCCTGTTCTTGTTTCTCGCTCTCCCACTGCTGCTGTCAATCCAGCAGCTTCACAGACTTGACAGTGGGATGGATAATGTGGAACCAAAATCATTGTTGCCATAGCTACACCAGTGGCAGTGACATGTATTGTAATTGAACAATAACTACATTAACAGCACTCTTCCACAGATTTGCTTTTGACCAGCACCTAACTTTTCAAATCCATCAGTAACGATTGAATTAAACTCCTTTTCCATGATTAAGAATATTATGCAGGTGCAGATTCAGTGTCTGATTCATTACCTCTGTAGCAGTAAGCATCATACAGCGCTGTGGTATTGTCAGTTGTGCTGTTGGGTGTGATGGTGCGGACCCCCAGCTGGCCCCCCCCCACAGTCCGGGCGACGCCAGGTCACAGGGTAGCGCACGCTGCCGTCAGACAGCCAGCCCGGGGCGCAGCTGTCCAAGCCGGCCCTCCACGCCAGATAGAGCTGCCCCACGGTGGCCAGCTGCCCCCCCAGGGACACACAGCGGTCTGAGGCGGAGGACAGGGACAGCCTGCCTGGGACCGAGGAGTGGAACACTTCACCTAGAGGACGGAGACAAGGGAACTTGCAGTGAAACACCTGGGTTCTGCACAGGCTTTGAAATCTATTGAATTACTTAAAAGCTTAGGCTATTGTATTCTACTTTTTCTCAACAAATCCCATGGAAAGGCCAAAACCAATAATGTTTTTCCCTAGCCTGTATGAGGCAAACATCCCAAAGCCCATTGGTTGCTATTGAAGATGTAAATCTTTAAAGGTCCCATGTCATGGCCATTTCTACTGATCCTAATTCCATTGTTGAGGTCTACTAGAATATATTTATATTGTACAATTTTCCAAAATCGCAATGGTTTCTCATACAGCATCTCTGTATAGTATGTGTATTCACTCTCTGTCCTAAACGGCTTGTTGGAGCTCCTGCCCCCCCTCCCTATGAGCCCAGTGGCCGTCTGCGAGACAGCGAGACACAGCGAAACCCAGCCCGAACACACACATACCCGCAGCCTGGCTGGGAGTTTGTGTGTGTGCTCACACACCGACTCACAGCCTCGCCGCGTCAAACCGTCTCAGGGAGGAGAAATCGGGGGAGTTGCAGCTGAGAAAAGATTGAGTGTGTGTGTGTGAGGAAGTCTGCGGATTGGCCCATTTGGACCAATCCACAGACGTAACGTAACGGCTCCACGGATTGGTCCATTTGGACCAATGGGTTAATTTGGGTATGGGCACGTCACTGTACCCAGGAAGAAAACAATGGAAAAAGAGAAATCTCCAACGAGGCGTTCTGGGGCAGCATAGACTGGTCTTTTCTGTGTTATAGTTTTACTCACTACAGGGTGTACTTTTGGCACATTTCCACTGCAGCGGGGTAGCCCCGTTTAAGCGTCCCTAAGCTTCCTCGCTCAGGCCTCGGGGCTGCCTCGCTGGCCGTCTGAGGCCGTGGCGCATTTCCATTACAGTTTAGGACCTGGGGTAGCAACGCAGTGTAGGCGGGGCGATCGGCTTTGTTGCTCCGTCGAGCTCCCGCTGGATTTTATCATCCCCAATGAGATGTAGGAACGTCGTCACCTCCTCGGTCGACCACGGTGTGCTTTTCTTTGACGTTGCCATTTTTGTAGCTCCTCCGTTTACAAAAATGCTGTGTATAAAAATGCTGCAAGCTTGCTTCTAGATATATATGCGACGCTAGGGATGATATCTCGCGCGATCTTGTGACGATTCTCTCTGACCAATCAGCAGTCGAGAGTGTTGACGTCACTAGTTCAGCGCCGGCCCTGGCCTGATAGAACCACGATTTTATGGGGCCGGAAAAAGAGGGAAAAAGTACCCTCCTAGCCGGGGCTACGCAATATGGAAAGGCCACCAAAAACTGGCCTGGCCGCTTGAGGACGATTAAGGACGCTTAAACGGGGCTACCCGCTGCAGTGGAAATGCGCCATTTGAGGGTTTGTGACTTTGCAGACCGTTTACATGCATAAAAAGCTTCATAACACACAAGGGGACAGTTAATAACCGGAAAAGCATGACATGGTACCTTTAAAATAAAAATGCACAGAGGTTTAGTTTGACTATTTATGTTTCTTAAGTTTAAAAATTATTTGTTGGTTGTTTCACTAGATTTATTTAATTATTATTTAAAAAATATATAGAAAAAACTGAATATTGCCATTTAATATTGTAGCAAAATGCAACCATGACAGTTTTTATATATATGTGTGGGTGTGTGTGTGTGTTGTGTGTGTGTTGTTGTGTGTGTGTGTGTGTGTGTGTGTGTGTGTGTGTGTGTGTGTGTGTGTGTGTGTGTGTGTGTGTGTGTGTGTGTGTGTGTGTGTGTGTGTGTGTGTGTGTGTGTGTGTGTGTGTGTGTGTGTGTGTGTGTGTGTGTGTGTGTGTGTGTGTGTGTGTGTGTGTGTGTGTGTGTGTGTGTGTGTGTGTGTGTGTGTGTGTGTGTGTTCACAGACTGCAAAGGCCTTAATCAGGCCAAGTTGGGTCCCATGTTGATTCATGACACACACATACACCACTGTAATGTTTCAGCTCCTATAAAGCCCTGCACTAACCCCAGCGATGTCTTCACATCGTCTGATAGCCAGTTAATAAGACCGGACCGTGCTGGATGGCAGCTGGAGCTCAAGTGGCTGGAAAATGGAAATGGCTGTGTGAACAAAAGCATCTGCTAAATGAAAAGCATTGAATACAAACCAGTGCTTCTAAGTGCCCTCACAGATGCAGTATTGTTTATTTCTTATTACATTATAACACTAAATAAAATGGATACAAGACATTATCCGCCCTTTGTGAATGCTACTAAATCACTTAATTTGCCTGAGATAGAGATCCTGTGATCAAGGCCATTTCCTTGTACTTTAGTTTATGAAGATGGCCACAGAGCAGTTACTCACAAAAGGAGATGAATCTAATAAATCATGATTACATTGGTTTATCCAAAAACATTGTGTAACAGTTGTTTTTATGTCGGTAAGATTTCATGCTGCTTTGATACCTGTAGATGACAGCTACTCCTCATCATATGTTGAGGTGTGGTGTGTGTGTGTGTGTGTGTGTGTGTGTGTGTGTGTGTGTGTGTGTGTGTGTGTGTGTGTGTGTGTGTGTGTGTGTGTGTGTGTGTGTGTGTGTGTGTGTGTGTGTGTGTGTGTGTGTGTGTGTGTGTGTGTGTGTGTGTGTGTGTGTGTGTTTTTGTACCATCCAGTTCTTTTGCATAACAGTAAACATCAAAAAGCTCTTTCGGGTCCCTCTTCCCATAATTCCTCACTCCAGCAGAGTACTCCTTGTGTCCATAGCAACCAAGCTCTGGCAGCTGGACAGAATAGCTGTGGAGACGAACATGTGGGAGTCAAAACTGTGAATGAACCTCGTTTTACTAATCATACAGTCTTTTTAACTCGGGGACATAGTACCAACAACGTCTTAGCTCACATATCAAAGTGTATAATCTTCATTAAGACTCTAAATGTCAGTTAGAAAAACATTCTTATTTGCAATCTCTTTTAAAGGGCAAGAGAGCAAAATACATTAAAATATCATTAGCAGCAACGGAACAATGTTGGTAAAAGGAAAAAACATGAATCTAAAGCAGATGAAATTACAAAACTAATTAAGACTGCAGATAGTAAGATACAAGTGGAAACGAACTGTACACCAAACAATCTTAAGGTTTTGCTTGACCAATCAGATCCAGTGCCTAAATGTAGTCCCAGGCACAAATGGTTTTATACATTTCCCCACAAGTTGAATTATTCTTTTAAGCAAAAATGCCTAATAATTCAGTCCAATTTCAGTCTTCAAAACGGTGAATATGAATTATGCTTTCTTGTTTTTCTATGACTGCAAATCGTTTATAATTGGGATTAGGACTGGGGGTCAAGTAAAACGATCCATTTAAACATAAAAAAACCTGGACTGATGAAGATATTGAGAAAATTATCTTCAGATTTAATAATAATAATAATAATTAATACAATTGCTTCACACAATGCAACTAGTGAGCAACACCAAGTATGTGAGGATCAACAGGAAGTTATTGAACGCCTCACCGGACAGTCTGATCATCCAACCATCCTGCCGAACAGCTGGCGAAGCCGTCATAGTAAGCCGCCCACAGCTGGGCAGGTGTGGCCATCTGAGCCGAGTTCTCCTGGCAGGCCCGCTGGGCGTCGGTGAACGAGAGGGCGTATCTGGAGCTGGGAGCCTGATAGTGAAACACCACGCCTACACGAGGAGACACAGGGACAGGTGGGGAGGTGTTTATCTGAGATATACAGCCGGGTTTAATGTGACTAAATCAGTGGGATGTAATCAACAAACAAGTCATTCTGGCTCCAAACAGATCAATCTAACAGTGGGTGACTTTAAGCTTACATTTCACAGATGGGCACACCGAACAATTATCATGGGTACTCACTCCAAACTCTTCAATTAAAATAATTACACAATTGCTCAAGTGGAAAACTAGATAGCAGGAACAACACAATAACACGGAGCAGTATGCTGCATTAATGAAGTCAGTCATTACGATACTGATATAGTGAATCAATGTTATTAATGTTTAATTAAATACAAACGCTGAAAAGGGTTGGCAGTGCTCTTGTTTTCCAGCTGCCATTATCTATTTTACACTATCACAACAAGCCTGGATTGCAATAAATGAGAAAAATCAATGAAGAATATTAAAGTATTTGTGTGTGGATGCTGCTTGGTCCGTTAGAAGTGTTTTATTCTTTAATACAGTATGTCCGTTAGGCACTAAACTTTTCTCACAGTAAAGTCTCCCGTCAGTGGTTGCTGCACTTACCGGATACCACCAGGGGCACAGTGTCTCTCTCATAGTCGTTGCCCATGACAACCTGACAGTGGTAAGTGCCTGAGTCGTTGGTGCGGAGACTGGAGATCTCCATGGTAGCATTCAGAGCATTGGCAGCGTATCCTGGCAGCATGACGCGGCCACTGAAAGCCTTATTCACCTTTATTACATCACCTTTGGCACAGAGAGACAGGGTTCTTCAGTATGAGTGTCCATTGGCATCTTGCAGATTTTTAGAGATAAAACATAAACTTATAAAGGGTCTAAGATACATATTAACATGTCTTCTCAATGGCTCGGTCCTATGTCAAGACGCACTTTTCTGCTAAACACAGTTTAGGTAATTTCCCACTAAATACTTTTGTATTTGTCTTTACTTTTCCCACTGGGTAGTGGACGGGGATCAGCTAACAACGTGACTCTCAGTCTTCTGTAGACCATTCAGGATTCATTTACTAATTCAATGTGATTCATTTAAATCAACACAATACTGACAAAGCAAATGTTTTCGAGTTAAATAATGGTTTCATTTCTAACTTTAGATTTAATTGTTGCTTATTTAGTCTTTAACATTTCACATTATAAAAATAGAAAAGGAAATTGAAATGTAATCTTTTCAGAGACGTTAATATAATCAGTATTTTTATTTAATTTGAGTGGTTTAGTTAAAAGTAATGATCTGCAGCCTAACTCCTACGTCCACCTGGTATAAAAAACTGGTGAATGGGCAACCAGTATAGTTTCTGGACCTGAAACAAATTAGTAAAAGGCACCAACACTTTAAAGGGGGGTAAATCCCATCAGTGCCATGCTTTGACTTTGCTTAAATAATTTCACTCAAGGTTTTTTTTAAGCATTTACAAGTTACTATTAGGATTGATGTCCTTTTAATACCAGGAGCTACTATTGTAAGCTTGTTATTCGCAGCTCTTTAACTCATGAGGTTTGGATTTATTCATTACATTCTTCCAGCTGAGGAGAGCTGCAGATCAGCGGGGACGATTGTGTTAACACACACACATAGTTTGATCCACTTTTAATATAAAAACATCGATTAGCGCACCTTTCAGGTTTACTCTCTAAGAACTTGAGTCTCAATCAACAGCTGACCCAGATCATCGTGTCCTACTTTTACCTTTAGCAGAAAGCACAGTCTGCTCATGAGGAGCCCCCTGTCCCTCGGCTGGTCCTCTGATGCGGGTCCACAGGATGTGGGGGGGCTGGGGGGAGGAGCTGGTCTGGAGGGTGAAGACACAGGAGAGGACGGCTTTGCCTGCCAGCGTTTGTTGGACTGTAGGATGTGTGATTCTACGCATGTTAACTATGGAGGAGGCTGCACCTAGAGGACGAACAAGACACCAGAAACAATTAGATTATCTAATTAAATGTGTTGGGGGTAACTTTGCTTACAAGGGAAGAAAATAATGGACGTTTAATTGCATGTGTCTACAGTCTGACAGACATGAACAAGGCTGGTGTTTGATTAAAGAGGAAATGTCTCACAGTATTCTTCACTCAGCAGAGGAGGAGATGTATACATATATGAGCTGTATATACTGTAACCTCTAAGTCATACAGTAACAAGACCTCAGGGATTCATTAGCAAGTTCACACTCATGTTTCCACACAAGGAACTGCTTCTACTGTACCAGCAAAGAAACATAACACTGACCCATTATAAGAATCCCACACATAATTATATACATGTAGGCTATATACACAGACAAGAGTAGAAAATGTGTGTAAAAAATCACACATAAGTAATCACAGCGGCTCCAACTTAAAGAGGCCTGATTATGCTTTGTTGGGGTTCCCCTTTCCTGACGGCCCGTCCACACACAGGCATGAACAAAATCTTTCAAAGCTTCGCCCATTCACTTGAATGGTGACGTAGAAGATTTTGAATCTTCGCCGAACTGCATTGTGGGGAGCGGAGCATGGCTTTGCAAGCATCGTGAGCATCAAAAGTTGAGCAGTGTTCAACTTTTGATGCTCCCGATGCTTTCGAAGCTGGCATCAGCCAATCAAATCCCGTTTATGCAAATCCCGCCAGTACAAGCGCTAGCCAATCAAACTGCGTGCAAGCTGGGAGAGCCAGACCGCAGTTCATTTCCTCATATTCCAAACGAGAAATTACGGGAGCAAATCACCCGGTTATTTACGACCAGAACTATTTACCGGGATACAAACCGGAAGAACCAGGCATGGAGGGAGGTGGCAGAAAATCGCCAAGCTTCAGACACGCCCAGCATCAAGATTTTTCAAGATTTTTTTTTCATGCCTGTGTGTGGACAGGCCGTGATGTGTCATATAGGTTATTGTATTATGTAAATGGTCTGCAAAGGCTAAAATCCCCAAAGTTCCCTCTAGAAGGAGTTTCCCACACACTCTGCCCCCCTGCCTGAAACGCCTCCATTGAACTCTTTGGTTTACTTCTATAACATAGTGACACTCGTGCTTCTATTGGATGTATGTATAGGCTAAGGGGCCGGACATCTCTAAGGGGTTGACCAATCATGACAGAGCCAGCCAGCTAACCAATCAGAGCAGACTGGGCTCTGGTCTCAGACAGAGGGTGGAAAGAGGTGCTGCAGCACAGGCAGTATGAGAAAAATAGAGCACTTTTTGAACATTAAAGCATGTAAACAGGTCACAGTAGAGGCACTAAATACAATTATGAACCTGGTAATGAGCAAAACATCGTCCTCTTTAATATTTTTTATTTCTAACCTAAGTTTTCATAAATGATTCAAACTGTCAGTCAAACTATTTGATTTACACTTATTTCATGTGAAGATAGGCCTAACTTGAGCCACTGTCACTGTGAGAGACAGGTTCACCGGTCTGCAGATTGATATCAGAGGCCTGTACGACGAAGCCGTACAGGTAGCTGTGCGGCTAACCTGGTCCGGAGCAGGTTAGGTTCCAGGATAAGAGATCAACTCAGTGAAAGCACCGCCTGCTGACCAATCAGAGCTCCGTGTGCGGAGTTTAAAGCTATCAAGTCATATTACAGGATAGAGGAAATACAGAAATACTGCCGCTGCAGGAAAGACGGCCGGCAAAAATCCACTGACTGTGAACGTGAAAATTAATAGAATATCACCTCCCATCGTCAGAGCCTTTTCTTATCAAGCTCCACATTTGTGGAATCAGCTTCCAGTTTGTGTTCGGCGGCAGACACCCTATCCGTTTTTAAGAGTGCGCTTAAGACCTTCCTTTTTGATAAAGCTTATAGTTAGGGCTGATTAGATTCAGCCCCTAGTTTTGCTGATATAGGCTTAGTTTGTCGGGGGACATCTTACTTCTTCCTTCTCTCTGTCTATACCTGTGTACTCTCATGTTCCGATTAACCCAGCTTCCCCAAATTTCTTTCTTTTTGGTGTCTATATACGCCGGGATCCGGAGTCATGGATGATCCTGCGGTCCTGTGTCCTGGATCTTGAGTCGTGGCTGTGGTCCTGGATCATAAGTCCTGGATGGATATCCTCGTGGATTCATCTTCCTATTATACACACATGCATTTCCAAACATTTGGACTACCTATGTTGCAAATGTATTATCTTTTCAATTTACACACGGCATCTATTGCACGTCTGTCCGTCCTGGGAGAGGGATCCCTCCTCTGTTGCTCTCCCTGAGGTTTCTCCCATTTTTCCCTTTAAACTGTGGGTTTTCTCTGGAAGTTTTTCCTTGTACGATGTGAGGGTCTAAGGACAGAGGGTGTCGTATTGTCATACTGATATTCTGTACACACTGTGAAGTCGACTGAGACAAATGTAACATTTGTGATATTGGGCTATATAAATAAACATTGATTGATTGATTGATTGAGAGCCATCTGACTAATATAACATTAGCATTAAGAAAGCTTACTTAAATATCTGCCACAACATAAGTAACCGGATCAAAGTAATTAAGTACAGTCCACGGCACTGTGAGTGCAGACGTCGATGTGTCCCATTATCATTCATATCACATCATATCACATCATAATGTATAATTTCCTTATCTGAGTTAGCTTCTTGAGCCGTATCTGGCCGTGCAACACTCACAGTGTCACATACTGTATGCAGAAGTATTATTTTAAGCAACACATTAATTTGACGAAACACTCGAGTCAAATGTAATTAAAGTCAGATCCACTCGTGTCTTAGACGGGGCAGTGATATCATAAACCTGTTAATGTACGCATTCAGTAGTGGCAGTGGCTCAGTCAGTAAGGGCTTGGACTGGGAGCTGTAGGGTCGCCGGTTCAAATCCCCGACCAGACCTAAAAAATATGGAGTGTGGACTGCTACTTGGAGAGGTCCCAGTTCACCTCCTGCCCTGCCGTGGTGCCCCCACCTTCCCTGGGCGCTGTACAATAGCTGCCCACTGCTCCTAGTACTAGACTCCTGGTACTAGGATGGGTTAAATGCAGAGGCCAAATGTCACTGTGTGTGCTGTGTGCTCTGCATGTGTGACCATTAAAGAGGGTTTCATCCCTCCCAATTCTATCTATTCTATTCAAACACGTTTTCTTTTACCAGCTGTATTCACCTTGCAGCTGCAACTATGTGGCTTTTATCCTGGATAAAGTGTTTAAGTAATGGATGTTTAAAGTTGAACGTCTTCATATTTGTCTAATTATAGTTGTCCATGTTTGTGATTGGTCGAATGCTCCAAATACCACCCCTTTCATGTGAACGTGCACCAGATAGAACGCTGGCTTGAGTTAACGAGTTGATAACCAGCATCGTAGGACAGTTTAGCGAGAGCGCGTTTGCTTTGGATTAGGTAAGCCGGGTAACTCAAACATATCCAGGTTAGGTTGAACCGGCTTCGTAGTGCAGGCCTCTGCTCTCTGCTGGTTGCCATGACATGTTGGTTCCATGTTACCATGACAACATGATCACCTGTACAGACATCATCGGCTACCGAAATATTTCTTCCTCTTTGTGGCTTTATTCACTTTCATCTCTACTGCTTGTATCAATCTAGATGATGATAATAATAATCATAATATTCATAATTATAACAATAATCATAATAATAACAATATTCATAATAATAACAATATTCATAATAATAATAATACAATTGTGTTTTCATAAAAAGTAAATACTTATTTTGATCATAAAAGTTAATTTCCTTTTTTCATTGTACATTTACATAATTCTGACTGAGCTATCACCATGACAACTGAGCCCTCTCCTTGCTAATGAAGATTGTGAGATGTGGATGAAATCTGTAAAGACATTAGGAGGACTTTGAGTTCAATTTGTTTATTGTTCTTCTTTTTTTTCATTTAGGTTTAAATATAATTAATCTGACTATATACAAATAATAATAATGAGCCGTTTTTGCTAACAAATCCGAGGACTAACATGGACTGTGTGGCACATTAGTCCTCCTAGGCAACATAAAAACAACAAGGCAGAAGACAAAATGACAAAGATTTAATGAGCTTAAAGCACATTTGCTTAAGGATTGTGGCTTTTCTTTTCTTGTCCTCTTCATTCAAATTGTCACCATTAGCCAAATGCACCAATGTGTAGCAACTAATATGAGCGTAACGAGGAGTGAGGAAAAAATAAAGCCTTGTATGGCACTTTGCACATGGAGGAAATGAATCCCCTTAAGATATTTCCATCTGCATTTAGATTGGACGGCTTTCACAAGCTGAACCCCCTGAGAGCATCTCGCTGTGCTGAGCCTCTGCTGCCTTCCCCCAAAATCAGATGTAATCACAGAATGACAAATACCAGGCACGAGCACGAGAGCCAGAACAACACAGAGAGAGGAGAGAGAGAAACCCGGAGATGAAGATGGAGGAAAAAGAGAGACTTTGGATGACAAGTGTGCCCTGTAGCATGGAGGTGGTGACAGATGGGACAAAGAGAGAGCTGTTAGTGACATGAAAGGACACTCTCTATCATTAACAGATGCCGTCTCTTGTTCCTGTCAGGCCTCTTTCAGAGTCCATACGCTATAAACTGCAAGGAGGCTTTCAAGGCCGATATCAATGTTTATTAAACTGAAGGGACTGTGCTGAGTTTGATCCTTTCATGCCAAAATAATGTTGCATAAAACATATAATAAGGAAATAAAGGCAACAAATCATACAGTGGGATGTTTTTAAGTGTGAATGATTGGTTTTGACAGAAGAAATTGACCATTGATAAGATGAATAAGGTTTAACTACTTGGTCTTTCAGGAAGATTTTAATTGCATCTCACAATTTGTAATGGCAGTTTGCTTAGTTGTTTAAATTGTTGTTGTAAATAATATGTATTTCTTAAGTGCAATAGTTGTACACACTTGTAATTCTGTTTATAGCTCTACAAAAAGGTGAGTAAATATACCTTGACATTAGGAGTACCTTGCACGTTTCCACCTTTATACTAAGCTTTTTCATAACTAAGGTAGCCAAGGTCGAAACACATTTGAATCAGGAACAAACAGCTTTAAACTCCACATGTTCTTGTTAGCAGGCTGAACATGTTGTGATTAACAGAACGGTGCAGAGATGATTGATGTTTAGTATTTACCATTAACCTGGTACCCTGTTTGCCAGCTGTCCATCAGTAAAACTCTTAGAGTGAATGATGTTATCCAGATGTCCTAGTTCAGTATATCGTGGGGGGCAACTTTGTGATGAACTTGAACATTACTGACTCAAAACGGTCACGATTCATAATATATATACTTTTACTCATGTTAAAACAACATGAAACACAATGATGCTGTCTACTAGTCTGTACTGATTCACAGTCAACACCAACACGACTGAATGTGGAGCAGTAACTTTCCGCTGTCAAAACATAATGTCAAGCAAAGTAATGTTTTAATTTTGGAAATGAGTATGCAGTTTATCCACTTAATGAAAACCCAGGCTGACCATCATGCATAAAAATTGCAGGAAAAGTAATAAGGGGAAACGTATCTTTACCACAGGCAGTCAGCATTCTGCACGTGGGACCTCAAACCTGCAATAGTTCCCACCAGAGACCTGCGGCTCTGAGATGTATTATCTTTTTGTTCCATAATTGTGAATTGTATGCATAGTTGTAAGGAACAGATGGTCTACTAAACTTGCAGAAATGGGTTTGGATTTGTTCCAGTTCAGTCCCACCGAGCATGTCTGCAAATACCCCCAGCATGTCAGCTCTCTCTTTCAACAATCAAATGAGTGCAGACCTGTCTTCTGTATTCATGTCTATGGGATGGGAGCTGATGTTTTCTGTAATCTGCTCGAGCTGCTTCTCTTCCCTATCTCTTTTTTACAAAAGCCACTTATGTGCTGACATCACCTGTTACTATTTTCCTTAATTTCCTGCAGTTCCTGGAGATGCAGCAGTTTATGGAAACAATGAGTGGCGGTAGGAGACGGATAACTTACCTTCTCCTAAAAAGACTGACAGCATTAGAACAAAGAGGATCGGCCGCCCAGCTGCACACAGATTCAGAGCCATCCTGGACCTGCAGAGGGACAGAGGAGAGGAAACAGAGAGGAGAGAAGTGAAGCTGGATGATGAAGGAACACAGAAATGCCAGTGAACAGAGGTTGAAATATAGATATCGGAGTGTAAAACAAAGACTTCCAAGACACTTCCAGACAATAAAGTTCATGGTGTTCATCTTTCTGTTTAGCGACATATAACATATTTGAGATAAAAGGGTCTCCATCTTTCAAAATGTATGCATGTCATCATAATAAAGCATTGCTACATATGTTCATTCATTGGTGTCTAGTGTTGCCACCCTCATCATTACATGCTTTGTCTTTGAGGTCAACCTTAAATAGGTTTGTTGCATACAAACAGGAAGTACAAATTAATTGCTTTACAAATTCAACTTTGTAACATGCATAGGTTGTCATTTCATGCTAAAGAACATGAAATAAAAAATAACTAAATATGTTGGTCTATAATTCATCAAACAGGTCCAGTATCTGGGTTTTGTCATGTGGGTTTGTACAAATCATTAAATGAGAAGCAAAATATAAAAGTTAGATATAAATGGAAAATATTTCAATGACAGGTGACAGACAAAGAGAAGCTTGCACAGCTGTTTTGGTTTATAAAAACCTCTTCAAAATGAATTACACCAATTAAATCCCCACACACACACACACACACACACACACACACACACACACACACACACACACACACACAATAAATGTCGCTCTTTTAGAGGAACACATGATGAGGAGTAGCTGTCATCTACAGGTATCAAAGCAGCATGAAATCTTACCGACACAAAAACAACTGCTGCCTACACAATGTTTTTGGATAAACTAATGTAATCATGATTTATTAGATTCATCTCCTTTTGTGAGTAACTGCTCTGTGGCCATCTTCATAAAATAAAGTACAAGGAAATGGCCTTGATCACAGGATCTCTATCTCAGGCAAATTAAGTGATTTAGTAGCATCCACAAAGGGCGGATAATGTCTTGTATCCATTACAATACTGCATCTGTGAGGGCACTTAGAAGCACTGGTTTGTATTCAATGTTTTTCATTTTGCAGATGCTTTTGTTCACACAGCCATTTCCATTTTCCAGCCATTTGAGCTCCAGCTGCCATCCAGCACGGTCCGGTCTTATTAACTGGCTATCAGACGATGTGAAGTCTGATTTGATGTTAGACCACACACAGAGTCTTAGAACAACAAATGATTGACTCGTATGACAACCACTCCAAAAGTAAAAGACTGGATTCAGTTTTGGCACGCTGCAGTGAGAAGGCACTTCTGGTACAATACTATAGCACAACATATTGAGGAAATCCTACCGCATCAGAAATGAGCTGCTGACTTTGCCAGAGGATTTGGCTTGGGGCCCGAAGCTTCTCAGCTGAATGAAAAGACTCCCGAGAGTTTTATAGCCCTGCACTGGTATGAAATGAAGAAGACGGCGAGAGTATGCTGAAGGAAAACAAGCTTGACTTTAAACTCTAATCTTAAGGGGAGTTAGGCATCCAAATAAATATTCATTTAAAAGTGATTGGTTCCGTATATTTCCCTGACTATATTGTCAAAATCAACAGTGAGTTGCAATGGACCAAATGAAGAGTTTCGTGTCCAACGAGTTTGGACTGTCTCAATCTCAGTGACCTAAGTGAATTATTTATCCAGGAAATCAGAAGACCTTTTAGCATTCACCAAGGTAACAGCAGCTCAACCCTTCAGCATGCCTGATGCTGAAAAAGAAGATTATGCAACACCAGTTCAAGCCTTTATAAATTACAGGAATAATGGTCTCTCTCTTCTCTGATGTGAAAGCGCAGTAAAACCTTCAACCGTATACAACTGGAGTGTGTGAGAGAAATAGAAACATTCCTCCCAGATAAGTAAAGCACTCTGTGATACCTGCCGAACTAAACTGCCATTAACAACAATTTGTTGAAGGATTTTTTATCGTTGGCAACCAAGTCTGGACTGTTGGAAAAAGGGGGAGTTCTGGTGGGGGTGAGACGCTGCTGTGCCACACACTTTGAGGCAACCCATCCTGAAGGTGGGTCAGGACCCTGTGATGGGCCGTGACAGATTGGGGTCGAGCCGTTGGACACTTTGCATGTAGAAGGCCCGGACCATTGGTGGAGCTAGCTGGGTGGGTGACAAGAGATTTCTAAAGGCTTGGAGAGGGTCATGACACCGAGGAGTTTGCCCAGCATTGTAAGCAGAGAGCATTAGAGAGCGTTGTATTGGAAAACCTGGGACTGGCAGGGGCCCAGAAGCCACTATCCACAGCAACAGAATACAGAGTTCAGCTTATGGACATCTCTATGGCCGCTTTACAACCTACATCGCTGTGTGTTCTATAGACAAGCGCCTTTCAAAGTGTTACCAGAGGGGATTTACAACATACAGTGCATTGGCTATGCAATGACACCAGCCGCATACTAACCAGCACCTCCTTTTGTTGAGGACGAGACATCAGATGTCTTGAACGCCTCCCTCTAAATCGCCCCCCCCCCCTCTTCACTTTCACAGGCACAGCTGTGTCTTGAGGAGAAAAGAGCCAGAAGTCTCTAAAATGCTTCAGTGGACATCAATGTGGATGTCCGTCCGACACATTTTCACGATGTTGTCTGAATAGGATGCATTCTTAGCTCATTGTGAGTGCGGACGAGCGGAGTGACGGAGATCCAAAGAGGGCTAACAGAGGAGGTTGGCAGACCTACATCACGGCTCAGCACTAAGCTGTCAATCTGTTGAAGCAGGAGACCCACTGGCCTCATGTTCATCATGACACAGGAGAGGCCCCTCGACCCAAATCTCCTTCGGTTCAGCCGTTGGTGGGAAAATTGCTTGAAGGAAAAAACATGAAGAGTGTGGAAGAACTCATGTCAGCTGCTGTTGAGGCTATGAGGTAAATCACATTTGTGAGCACAGCACGACAGCTTTATGCTGACAATGCCTCTATCATGCTACATTGAAGTGTGTGAGTCTCTGAGTGTGTGCGTGTGGTTGCAAGTGTGTGTGTGTGTGCTTGTTCACAGACTGCAAAGGCCTTAATCAGGCCAAGTTGGGTCCCATGTTGATTAATGACACACACACACACACACACACACACCACTGTAATGTTGCAGCTCCTATAAAGCCCAGCACTAACCCGATCGATGCACAAGGTAGGTCAGTGAGTTTCACCCTCTGCATCATGTTCACAAAGCATGAGCACAAACACATTGGCTAAATGCATTATAAAACACACACGCCAATACAAACACACACACAAACTGGCAGCTGGGAAGTAAGCTTCCTGTATTACAGTTTGTTAATTGACCCCCATAATGCATTTTACAAAGATAACAGCGGGAGATTTCCTGAAAAGTCAGAGTAGTCTTTAACAATGGGTCAAGTGGATTTAAATGATGTTCACTTTCAACAGGTGACTTTGCTACTGTTACTGACACATTTTATAGCCTCACTTTATGGCTGGCTGGCAAATTAATACCAACTCCATGTTTGTAGTTCTGGTTTAGAGTTTAGAGACTCCAAACAAGCTAACATGCTGTTTTAGATAACATTGGAATTCAAATGTCAATTGTTATAAAAATAACCCTGCTTTCATGCTTACGATAGAAAAACATACCTGGGTAAGGTTTTACATTTTCGTATTTTCAAACAATATGTTTTCACTTCGGGACATACCAGGGCTTTTGGGAACTGTTGCTGGAGTCTTCCCAAACCATATAGCCTACAGCAGCAATAAAAGACTCAAATAAAAAAAAGAATGAAACCATAATGTTTTTCTTTCTGCCTCTAAATTTGAAATAAAATTGTTCTCCACCATAAAGAAAGAGCTCAAGCTCGTTTTGCACCTTTGGGAAATGAAGTTTTCTTTTGTATTTTTACAGGAAGTTCCGACGTCTTTCTTGGGCGACGGCACTATGAAAAGAGTAAGCAGCTGAATTAATATCTAAAAATACAAGGTGCTAAATAAAAGAGGCTGAGGACTTTTTATAAATCTGTACTCTTAGACTTCGGGATGGAAACGGAGCCAGTTTTAGCCATAAGGAGTCAAAGTGTGGCTCTTGTGTTCCGCTCCTGGGTCCTGACAGAAAATGTGATTTCTCTCCCTCCCTTTTTCTTTAATCATGTCTCTCAAACCTATTACCTCCAGAGAGTGGCAGAATAACAGCTCCGGATGAGTGACAGACAAAGTGGTGAGCTGGGAGAGGAAGAGGAATGAAAGGAAGGTCATTTTATCCCCGTTGTGACATTACTTCTCTGCTATGATGAGAGCTCTTCAGAGAATCAGCTGAAGCATCATAACCCTCCTTCATTTGCTGTTTGCAGGAGTTGCTGCATCTTGATATATTCCTGGCAGAAATTATGTGCACTTACACAAACACAATTTTCCTTACTCAATTATAAATAATACAGCAATGATGTGTTGCAGTGGCCATAACAGAGATTTTAAACCAAACTACATCAATATCAATTGCTTAATACATACAAAAGTTAAAATAAACACTCTCAGAGGAAAGGAATCAGGTATTTACTTCCTGCTACATTCAAGCACACTTTTACACGCACACACACACACACACACACACACACACACACACACACCACACACACACACACACACACACACACACACACACTGACTAATCACACTCAAAGCAACTAATGACTCATGCAGCTCTGCTGGCTTCAGATGGAGAGAGGACTCTGGAAAGCTGGTCCCTGCGATTGGAGATCGCACTCCTTCCTCTCACACAGACACCATTGATCTCACTGGGCATGGAGACAGAGGTTATTTAAACCAGCTTGCTAAGGAGAGGCCAACTTTAGATTTGGCTCTAAGTTTGTGCAGTAGGGCCCAGAGAGCAGGCAATTCACATCACTCTCCTCAACCGACAAGTGAAGTGGAAAAAGAGACTAATGCTTGTAGTTCCTGTAAGTAGGTAGTTACAGGGTTCCTGTTGTTTACTTTAATTTATTTTATTTTTATTTATTCATTT